AAAAATTGTTTTTGAATAGAATGGCCAATTATTTTTTTATTTCTGTGAATCGACTTTTATTCTTAATGTAAATATTTTACGCAAGTATGAAAAAGAATTTTGATTTGCAGTCAGGTTGCAAAAGATTTGCATTTAATCTCGTTAAAATACCAAATTAAAGTATATTGGTAAATAATATATAAATCGCGGCGATATAGTACCAAAAAATATAAGATAAATATCAGATAAAAATGAAGAAATTTTAAGACTCTCTGAACTCTCTGAAGGCTGTAGTCACTGTACTTCTATTAGATTATAACTTTAGAAGCGAGAAACCACACGCTTCTCGCGGTATATATTGAAATAAATGAGTTTTTTTTCGCATGCCACCACTAGTTTCATGAAGTAAACTTGCAAAATGTGCCGCAACTTTCCTTTAGTTTTCCTTCATTAATAAATGGCCGCATAATTTAAATGTGTCTTATACAAAATGTAACCGGAAAGTTGAGAGAAACTTTCTGTATATGTTTCACATATCTCAAAGATAAAAACTGTTTGTATAAACATACATTCGAAAGCATTTCATTTTTAACAAAATATAGAAAGCTTTTTCAGAGTAATTTATTTTTGATGCTGCAGCATCAAACATCTTGTGACTTATTGTAATCAATTTGTTTCTCTTCCTATCGATTAATAATATGAAAAGAAAACATCTCATAGATGATTTACGTAATAAATACTGTTTTAGCAAAACACCTCGTATACGAAACTTTTCCGAGTATTGCGAGAAATTTGCAACCTCCAATAATCCTTTATAATCCAATGTCGTTTGCGGCGACTTTAGTTGCGAGATCTTAATCTTCCCCTCGCAAATCCGCGATTTGAGAACGAGACCGGCAAAAAGCGGCGGTTTCGGCGATTTCGGCTTGATGTATCGCAAGTCGCAACCGCTTGCTCACCCGCGGTCAGTTTCGCCTGAAGGAACGAATTGTCCCTGTGGGCAGGGATAGAAAGGCCCACCATCCCACCCCCTCCCGACGCTCACTTCACCCTGGCTTGCAGACGGGGGAAACCCGTAGGGGTTGCGAACGCCATTCAACCGTAACAAAAGGCAATCACCATAGAAGTGGCGGCACTGGAACTAGCAGCGGTCATAAGTTATCGAAATCACGTCGATATTTCGCGAAGCGAACTCCACTGATGCGCTGGGAAGCGAACAAAAGTACGAGGTGTGATAGAACTTGAATTCATTACAATAGAACAACAGCGGCTAGATTCAAAATATTTAGATTTAATCAGTTGGCTAATAAACCTAATTATATAATAACTAATGATGGCTAATAACAGTTAAATTTTAGTAATTAAATGTATTAATAGCAATCATTTGTTTAATTGTAATATATTATAATTGTTAAATGATTTAAATTGTTGATGATTAATAATGATGATAGATTAATTATTTTGTTAATGATAAGTACAGAAAGAAATTAATTAGAGATAAGTACGGTAATAATAATTGATTACAACACAATTGTGATAAATCTAACTGTTACTAACAAATAAATGTAGTTTGAGCTTTTAACGATTTTTTTATAAAAAATATTTGTTATATGTAATTTAGAAGCATTCTTGATCCTTCTTTGACTCGCGTGCTGTGTTTATTAATCTTTTTCAAAGAGGATGTTTGCCCACAGAGATGCCTCGTTCATTCGGTTTTACTCAAAACAGGTGATGCCCGATTTTTGCGTGCATATCGCCCGTTCAATTGTTTATCAAGTATCGCACCGACTACGGCAGCGCACAGCAATCAGTTGAGAATCTCTCAATATAATCCCGATTGTTCCAGGAAAAGCGATATAGGTTGTTTGAATTTTTACGCAAATCCGTCATATTCGCTCTGCGCATCAATGTAAAATTTCAAACAAACGAAGGATCCGCTAACGTAGGTGTGGACCATACATTTGCGCTATATATGGATAAATATCTACAAAAACGGAAACAGCTCAATAAAATTATAAAAAAATGTACCATCTGAATCAACGATTTTACACGAAGAAGAGGAGGTGTACAACCAATCGACAATCTCTGCATATTCGTTCACGTTCAATTGAACGCTTGTATATATCGAGTATCGTCGATGTTCGCTCGAAAATGCACGTAACTACTCGAGAAGTTTTCGGACTAATTGTCTGCTTGTTGCGATACACGGTTTTAAGAGATTTTTTTTGTAAATTTATGTTATTTTCATGTAATAATAATTCGTTTCATTATTTAATGCGTAAATTTCTATAATTATTAATATATCCAAACTTGAATAATTGATATTTTTTCGAATTCTGAAATCAATCATGCAAAATAATGCAATTTTTATGAAATTTTTTTCAACTTTTAATAAGTGACACTAATTCAATTAATAATAATTCACGACTTTTACGTGTGAAAGTTGTAATCTAAAAATAATCTACTTGTATTGTATATAATTAATATAGTTTAAATGATGAATCTTATTCTTCACATCATTAATTAAATTATAAATTACTGAAAAAATCTTTGTTACCTGATCCAACCTTTTGAAACAGTCTGTATAGCAACGTTTAATTTAACGCTTGGTTAAAAATTTCACAAATCCGCCCCTTTCCGCACGAAATCTCCGCACGAAGACGACATGCCGTCATTATCCAAACGCGAAACATCGCAACACGCCGAGGGAAAACAGCGAGAGGGTGGCCCGCTGCATCGATCGGGGTTAATATCAGGCGGTGGAAGAGCGGGGAAAGCGGGAGGGAAGGTAGCTTACAAATTGCACTCTCAATTTTCGTGAGGAAGCGCCGACTGGCCGGCGTTGCGAGCTGCAAAGCAGGTTTTATCGAGTAAAAGCGGAAACGAAGAAGGGAGCCCGAAAGGAGAAGGAGGAGCCGCGAGGGGGCAGGAGAGGCAGAGAGGGCAGGTCGAAGAGTGGACCATTAAATCGCAGCACCAGCAATTACATCGATCTAGCCGTGTCTGATGATGTTGATTTAAGTTCGAAGAGGGGCGACCTCGCGCATCTTGCACACGAGCGCGCACGCGAGTGGATCTCGAATCGTTTTCGAATTTCGCAAAGAGAAATTAAGCGCGGAGAATGGCCGAGGAATAAAAGGTAAAACGAGTGTATGTTTTAGAAAGAATAAAAATTTCTCGATTCGCGGAAAAAGGGTAAAATATGGAGACCTTTTCACACACACACACATGCACTGTATATTTTTCTTAGAATAATAATTTAAAAGACACAAATGGTAATAAACTATACGATTTGAATACGCGTTTATCTTACCCTATTTCTTTATGCAAATGTGGAAGAAAATTCGCGTAAATAGGATTTAATGACTCAGACATCGACCGGACTATAATTAAATTGAAATTAGTGTATATTCGCGCGAAATAGCGTGGCGAAAGAGGAGAGAAAATACCGTGGGAAAGATCCGCAGTTATGTAGATGCGGCTAAAAAGGACTAATTTAGGATCGATGTCTTACTGTATTGTATGTTGCATTAAGTTGCGCTACGTTGCTAAGCATTAGCTGGTCTCACAATTTCACCGCGTTTCCTCGTAGTTGCCCGACCATTTTTCATCGCGTTCGCATAATTAAACTTTCAATGCGACGCGGTGGCGATCGCGTTTTTGCGATGGACACTTCACACCAACAAAAAGATCGTTAGCGGATTCCGGAAGTGCTATATCGATAGTTTATCGATTCTAATTTACCGGAAAGTCGTTATCCGACAAAACCTAATCGTCTCGGATTTATTTCATGGTTATGAAGAAACTTAGCCATTTACGCTATTTGTGCCAAATTGCAATGACAAAATTACTAAATTATCTAAATTTATTTGAAAATTTTGATTATAACTGTTCTATCTAAAATAAGTTCAGTGTTTCATATATATTGCATACACCAAAAATAGCAATAAATGAAATATATGAATTATAGCTTGTATAAAATGTATTAATTATAAATTATTATTAATCATATCAAATTTTTATATTTAAGCATTCAAATTTGATTGGATTTAATATGATTTGGATAATGTGATTTAGACAAATAGAAGATAAAATAAAAAGTATTTTTGATGAAACAGACAAACAACGCGTACAGTGGGAAAGTGGCAAACGATATAAAAATGATAGCTGCTTTAACGAACTGCAAAATAAGATTCGCGTAGCAGTTTCTTGACGATGTCATGCGCTAAACTTCGCGCCGTCGTAGAAACTGAAGGATTTCGTTGTATAATTAGACGAGTTAATTACAGCGAAGTACGTAATAAGCACTGACTTTAAATTAAGTCCCGACAACCTATAGGTACTCGGTATTCTGTAAGTCGGACCGATGTGATGTTCAAAGTACATCTTTTCGTTACATATCGTACTCGAGAATACTGATTACACTTTTGCGATTAACGTTATACGATAATAATAAGTAATAAAACAATATAATTAATAATAAATAGATCAGAAAACGTTGCATAATTCTAATTATTTTTGCTAATAATGTTAACAAAAGAGTAAAATGTTTTACCAATTAAAATTCATCATTCATTCATTCATATATGCTAAATATGCCCAATAAAGAGAGTAAAACGCTCGAAATAACGATTAAAATACCGATTATTAAATGCTTACGGTGGGACTAAAAAGTGAAAGATCGTATATTAATTAAAATTTCCCGCTAAATACTGGCAATAAAAATTAAGCAAGAAAAATGTAGGATAAAAGTTATTACAAGAAGAGTAATTAAATGCGCGCGTCGTATCTAAAAGGGATAAATAAAATTCCGGACGACCCGTTCCGTATCGTGCACGCACTTTGACGCATTAAGAACTCGTAAAAGCGTCCATTACTCAGATATTAAGCATACTCTTGGCACTTATGCGCTTCTTGCTTATGCACAAGCTGAATTTCGAGCTAATTTTACCTTGCAGTAGCTGGTTCTCGCGAATGGTTTCGATTAATTGCGTCGCGCGCCGCCAGTATTGCCTACTTACCGTTATCTGAAACAAAAATAAAACCAATTATTTTAGATACATATATAATAATAAAATATACATACAATAATTAATATATACACTACTAATATAAAAATGCTTATTATGGTATCAATTTTTATTAGTTCTAAAAATTATTTTTTTTTTAATAAACCTTTATATTTTTAGAATTAAAATATTTTAACAAATTAAATGTAGAATTTTTTTTATCATTTTTACTTGTTGCGGCCAAATAAATATTCGCAAAAGAAAAGTCTTGCGTCAAAGAATTTATCGTCGATGATATAACAAGAGAAGCGTGACATCGTATATAATTCTGAAAAATTTAAAATACTGTGCACAAATGTTGCTCAACCCAAAAATATAACTTTCCGATCGCGACTAAGAAACGATTCTACGTGATAATAATAAAACTAGGATTTAGTAAAGAATTTATCAGATATTAAAAAGAAAATTAAATAAAACCGATTATTGTTTTTACAGGGAAGAAAGCGAAAGAAAGGAAAAGGGAGGAAAATTGTAGTGTCCAGTTCGAGGTGATAGATTTTACAGACAGGTAAATGATTTATTTCAAAATAAGATAAGCGTAAAACGTAAAAATCTATCTCTCATAAAATTCAATTTTTATGGATCGCAATGCCGTTCGTGCGAACAATTCAATTATTACGCTAACTTTTGTCGATTACTCTGCCGGTTGCACTATGCGTTATTAAAAAAGTAAACGCGTTGCGCGTAGGCGCTTATATCACACGAGTGCACTTTCATCGCGATGCACTTGGCGTATCGATACCGTTATGGAGTGAGTTCTTACGCGGTTTTACAGCGCATTTTTAGTGAAGAGTCGGAAGGTTGTCTTGCATTACATGTCCATAAGTCGGCGGTATATGGCGTCGGGTAAAATAAGGTACGATGCACTTTAGCCGATGAAGACCGAACGCAAAAAATTCATGGCGGTGCAACCTTGCAGTATACATTGACGACTCCTGCTCGTCTTCCGATATAAAAATTATATAATTCTACATTTAAATAGCGCTCAAATTACGTACACAACGTCAATCGCTCTTGGATAAATATAGCTGGTGCTACGTCTAGTCGCGCGACACTACTTTTGCCGCGTAAATTTAGTTTTCATTAAAGTTAGCTCGCAAAATTGCAGCATCCTCAATAGCTTAACTCTTTTATGTGAAACATACTACAAAAATTCTACTACAAAAGTTCTTCAAAGCCGCGTGATATTGTTCAATATTGTTTTATATGTTGTCAGATATTGCCGTCGAACAGTAGTTCAGTTTGAGTTGCTTTAGTTCAATTTTCGCTTCACCAAGCATCTTTATATTCGTAAACACAATGATATTTTCGACCGCCATAAAGCAAGCGTAATACCGCACGGATTGCAAAGTGAGAGAATGGGGGAAAGAGAGAAAGAGATCCGCGATTTTGATAAAAAGGTTACGCGTTCATTTTAATCGAACCGCGAGATTGCAATCGCGGGTGCACCGAGCTATCGAGTTTCCCGCAAAATATTAAATGCAATGCGTATGCAATCACATCGACGATTCGTGTTACAATTGCATTTATTTTTATGACAGTGCAGAGGCATCTCAGATAACAAATATTTCCAATTGTACTTATTAAATGTATAAAAATAACTAAATAGACTTAGAAAAATATTAAATAGTAAGAAATGCTGAAATACTTATTTTTCTAACTATAAGTATAATAATTTCTCTCAATCTTATTATTTTCTATTATTGATTATAAAATTTCTCCAATTCCCAACATTTCAATATCAAATATATAGATATTAATTATATATATGTATTGTTTTTTATAAAAGCACGTGAGAAATATTTCAAGAAATTTAATTTGTCTCAGCCTGACGTACAGTAAGTTTTCTTTGTCTTTCTATTTTCCATCGGTGATGATAAAATGGAATTCTTCAATTTCAAGTATTTGCAATTCAGACACGGGCGTCTTAGATCGCGTTTGGATAAGACGCGTGCAAAAAGCAGTATCTATTTGCGTCAGAACGCTCTCGCCAGACCGTAGGGCAAACCTCGAGCAATCCTTCCACCCACATTTGGGAGGTGGGATGGTTCTTCTTCACGCGCGTTTACAAGGCGGATCGTATGCAAATCTCTAGCGGCTTAATTACGCGACACGCCTACTATATGAGGTCTCGGATCGCACGTAACGCGAACCGGAAGCCAATATATCTGGTCGACGATAAGAAGAAGCTCTCATTCGTAGATCACTACACGTTCGTTTACGATTCCTTTGACATTGATCGAGAATAGTTCGAAAGATATCAAGTAATTAAGAAGTCGAGTGATAAAAGAATCGGACAGATAACGTGGCGGTGTCATAATTTAAAATAATACATTATTATTCAGTGAGTTTTGCGTGGATATTAATTCCTTGGTTCTGAGCTCTTGCATGCTATAATATCTTTTTAGTTATTAAATAATTAATTCATTTATAATTGATACAGTATAATAATGAGGAATTAAGTTTTACGCCATTAGTAAAGTCTTTCCTACTTTCTTACACCCGGTATGTTACGCTGTCACGTAATGAACGCTCCTGAAGCATCACATGCGAATCTTACATTTATCTTCCTCCTTCCAACCGACTAATCCTCGGCGAGTAGCTCGTTCGTTCAAAGAGAAGAGCGTTTAGATTTCCATGGCGCAACAATATTTGCATTTTCATGACGTAACGCCAAAATGTAGGAGGGAAGGCAACGGTGAAACAGAATAACAAATCACAGCCGGATACTCGTTTTTAATCCTTCTGTGCGCGGTAAACTGTCGGGAAAACACGGTGAAAATAGGATACTGCAAAGTTTAAATGCTATTTACATACGTTTCCCCGATACGATCCTTACAATACGATGTAAATCATTGTAACCCGAACAATCTGGAACGACTGCTATACAAGACAATGTTAATTTAAATTGTAAATGTAAAATTTAAATAAAGAAAAATTCTCTTCACACGCCGATATATTTTTATGTGCGTCATTTTATGAATTGACGTAACATTTTTTTTTACTTAATAAAACGTTTCCGTGGAATAAAATGTATAATATATTTAAGGTAAAAATGTCCAATGTGATTTCAAAAATTAGATATTTCAGTTTTTTACTTTTTCTATTTAATATTAATTTCCTGTTTATTATTTTTACTTGGATCATATTATATTTATTGAAGCTGAGAAAGAGGAAGAAAAAATTCTTTGACGTTTTTTATGGAAAAACTACTATAGCCAATAAATGTTTATCTCTACTTCCTATATTTAGATTCTTCTAAAATCGATACATTTAGAAACATTATATCGTAAGATTTTAAACGTTTTATATTTCTATAACTAAATATACATATATTTATATGTATCAATTTAAATATGCAATTTGACATCGCATACAAGTAAAATTTATTAACTTTATAATAATTTATAATATATGCGATAAAAATAACAAAATTAAAATATCTATTAATGTGTGCGAAAACATTCACAGCACATAAAAGATATCTTTGGCGCGCCGCGAGCTTTGCGAGTAAATGGCATTATTTCAAATAAATTGTTTAATATGACATTCTGCAGACGTGAATTCCACGTTGCATACACGCACATACATACAGTATTCCATTTTAATTTAATTATCAGAAGTACAAAAGTTATAAAAATGTTTCTATTAGTTCTGTTCTACCCTACTATATTGTAGTTGATTTTTAAGAAACTTTTTTGCATATAAAATATGCAATATATTGTGAAATATGCAAGCACAAAACTAAGAGGTATATCTTTAGAAAGAATGGATAATATTTTAAGCAAAGCTCCTTTTTTGCATAAATTTGAAATTAATTTTTTTTTTTGTTTAATATAATAATATAATAAATAATAATAATATAATAAATTTCAAGTTTATTATTAATTTTTTTTAATATAAACATTGGAAGAAATTATTTATTTTCGTAACTTTTGAAATTCTGTTCCACATTTAAAAAATTCTGTTAACAATAAATTATTAAAAATATAATAGTATTCATTTACTTTAATTTATCTCTGAAATTTAGTTCCCGAGAAGCTCGAAAACAGTCACTGCTTTTCTATTTTCGTAAAGAAAAATGGATTTTAAATATTATAAGAAATAACAATAAATATGTAATTTTTACTAAACCTGCATAAAAATTGTTTTTATTTCAAAAAATGACTTTATTTTACGTCTGCCTAGCTAACCCCGCCATTTTGTGTAGCTAGGCAGATGTCTTTATTTTACAGATAAAACGTAAGTCGATCAGGACGTAACAAAGGCATTGATTAAAAATTCTTCAAGAGTGAATGCAACCTTGTGCAAATAAAAGTTCACGCGTAAGCGCAATAAAGTTTTAATCCACGGCGGAAATAATGGAATTTTGGGAGAAAAGTGCACTTTTCCTTCTAATTTTCTCGCTCAGTGCCAAACTGTCGCGCGATAATTCCAACTTCCGGAGCACGAGCGAAAGCTGCGAGCTTATCGGGTGCGATTATCTCTGTGACTCACCGAGAGATCTCATTTTAGGCCTAAAGAGACTTTCAAATAATTACGGATAATATGTGAAAAGTAGATAAAAATTGATTTTCGTGGAGCGGCGCGTCCAAAAAGTATAACCGCATGTTTTAAAATTATTCATTTATCATTATATATGTTAATTATTGATTATCCACATATATTGTTACATGTTAATTATTAATTAGTGATGACGAAAATGAATATATAATAATTATTCATGTATCAATTTAATATGCAATAAAAAAGTGAATTATTATTAATAACAATAATGATGACTAATTATCATCATCAATAAAATAGAAAAAAACAACACACATAATGTAATTCAGGATTAACAAAGTCACCAAATTATTAATAATAAATACAATTATTATTATATATATAGATTTTGTTAAAAATTATTATATAATTGTAAAAGATCAAAATTTTATTAATGCAAGAATAATATGAAA